AAATCTTTTTTTTACTCTCAGAAGAGCTGGGAAGGTCTGTACGACCTATATGGATCATTTTAACCTTAAGTGTTCTAAAAAATTGAGAAGCTGAGCAAACAATCATCGATAGACCAAGTGCTGCAAGGAATAAAACGGGGAAAATCTACTGCTCACAGGAAAAAACTCAGATTCCTTTATCTTGACTCTTGCCGGAAAATATATCTGTCTTTGAAGAAGTTATGACATGAAAAGATATGCCTATAGCCATTCATCCGCCTTAAGTCGGGGCTAATTAACCTGATTAACAAGCTAACGAACCAATTTCCGAAGATGAGTTTGAATGGACTTTGTAGGGGAAACTAGAGAAGGTTTGTTAGTGTTGAAAGGTAATATCTGTGTTGATGATGATAATGAACGTAAGCCATTACAACATAAGAAAGGTTCAATATTCAAACATTGCCCTAAACATTCCAAGGTTACCCTTGTCACCACCAAAAATGATCATTAAAACATGGTGTGGAACTACGTCACGAGCAAAATAAAAGAGACCCATTGAAAAAAACAAGAAACATATATCATTGATTATTAATTTTTATTCTTTTTCAAATGACCTACCGAAACTACACTCAACTTTATTGAACGCCTTTGTCTACATATTTATCAAGTGACGTTTAGATACCAACTGGATTCTTTTAAAGGCTTTACTCGTACCTTACCGATCTTTCAGAAACGTTTTCAGAAGTCCCTCCTCCCTCTCCCTTCGGACTTTCTACTGTTACATCATGAAACCTCCGTCGTAAATCTTAAAGCCCACTTTTTACATAACAAGAAGAACAACAGCACACTAAATTGTACCCATAACAATTTTTTGACAGAATTACATTTACTTGCAACTTCATGAAATGGGTCTGAATCGGAGAAAAGGAAAGAGCAAGTAGATTAATTAAAGAAAACATGTTTATACCAGCAAATGTTATATCCAGCTTTATGGACATATTCGTGCTATTTTTCAGTAGTGGTTTGTTTCTTTACGGCTTTAGTGCGTTACAAGAATAACTTATTCATACCTTGGTCTCATTGGTTGCACCACTATACCATCCTGTTTATGGATGAATTGAAAAATATTTCAATTAATACCTAAATATTTTGAAGCTTTTAATACGAATGAATACTTCACTGGTTTGAATTTGGTGAGCCCCATCACTTGCCTGTACAGAAGAGAGACTTTGAGCAATTGCATTTGTGTCTGTCAACCATGCCTGCAAAGTAAAAGAGAATGTAACTTTCGAAACTTGCTGTTAAAAATCATACGTCACTCTTTTGTTATCATGCTCTTGTCAGTGGTATGCGTGCCCATGTGCTTTCTTTTCATTATTATCGCTTGGGTCTCGTTGTGCTGTTTTCAGAAATACGACTTTGTTTGAGACTTCGTGATGGGGATGAAAATCGTAAACACTACCCTACTTACATCAATGTTGGACTCTCGTTTTACAGAATTGGCGTGTCTCTGATGTGTCAAATCAGTTAATTTTAATTTACAATATGTGGGTTTTGTTTCCATACCATTTGAAGAACATGCTGTCGAATTGCGATATTTTCTATCTTAACTTGCAATTTTAAGTCTTTCCTGAAAAGGAAAATAAATGAGAAATTGATTAAAAATTTTGATTAATGGAAAGTAATTTTTGTACGAACAAATTTTATTTCTTTTCATATAGGTAGATTTGAGCCCTCTTTCATTGCATGTACGAATCTGTCTTTCTGATCTGTTGATTTGTCGTACAGCTTGAATACTTCACAGAAATAACTTACCAAGACCATGGGCTCAATGCATGCACCACTGCACCATCCTGTTAATTGTAGAATTTACAAAATAATACTATTAATATGCAAACGTTTCTTAGTCATGGAACCTCTTCAGAGTAATTTTGAAATGCCTTAAATACTCAGTTATACTTATGTTTTGTTAATGGATTTCATTACATTTTATTTGGAAATCTGATTGTTTAAAAAACTGGCATTAACTTTCTGGACCAGTCAAATAACGAAGTAAAGCCAAACATTTTGTCTAAAATTAATCTGGTATGATGCCAACTTCTTTGCAACATCTTTAAAAGATTAAAAATTCAATCAATGAATCTTATTATTTTGACGGCATGTCGTAGTTTCAAATGAAGTATACTTTGAAACTAGTGTTAGCAATCTTTGCTTTGTTATAAAGCTGGAAACCCCATGCAGTCAAGGAGACAGATCAAGCGTACTGGTGTTACTGCTAAAGAAACTAATGAGGCATAATGATTTGGGAGCACACTTTACTGGTTTTAAATTTGATAGGGGCATTACTTGCCTGTACTGAAGAGAGACTTTGTGGAATTGCATTTGTATCAGTTAACAATGCCTGCAAAGTAAAAGAGAAGTAACTTTCGGAGCTTCCTGCTAAAGATCATACGCTACTCTGTTGTTTTCATGTTCCTATCAGTGGTATCTACGCATGCGCTTTTCTTACCATTATTATCTCACGTGTCTCGTTGGACTTTCTTCACAATATCACGTCGTTTAAGGCTTCGTGATGATGATGAAAATCGTTAACACTACTCTACTTACAGTAATGTTGGACTCTCCTTTACAGAATTAGCGTGTCTCTGATGTGTCAAATTAGTTAATCTTAATATACAATATGTGGGTTTTGTCTACATACCATTTGAAGAACATGCGGTCGAATTGTCATATTTTCCATCCTAACTTGCAAATTGATGTTATTCCTGAAAAGAAAAATAAAATGGCAAGAAGATTAATCGAAGTAATCTTTGTACCAAGAAATTTTAAATCCACTTTAAAAGGCCTCGAGAAGTTTGCAGATTAGTACTCCCGGCACTTTTAATATGGCCGCCATTTTGTTCCTTCATCGTCTCTCGCACTTTAACTCGTTTGAAATCTCTTAAAGCTTCTCCTTCAACTTGTCATTTCCAACTTTCAATGTTTGAACAGTTTTCTTCTCCCATTTCTAGTGATCCTTACTTGAAATTTATATATTTCTGTTAAATTGAAGAGCTTTCGAAACTGCGACCGATCCATACGCACATGTGCCTGCAACAAGCTAAAAGATTAATTCGTTGGCAATCCTTGGCATTGTTCAATCGCAGACAACGGTAGTCAAACATAGAGAGCATGCTTTTGGAAAAAAGCTATGCAACTACAACCAGAGATGTAAAATTGATTTAGTTTGGAAATAATATCCTTAATTCGTCTGTATTTGCGAGGCAATTACATTGCTCTAGGAATACGAATGTTTGATTATGAAAGATCTCGGTCCCTTCGACAGAGGGACGATTAAAAGTAGTAAATGAAGCTAAGCTCTTCAAATGAATTATAATAGTCACACAGAGAAACTCACCGTTGACGAATAAATGCCATTCTTCCGTGTCAGAAGCTAAAGCTACTTACTAGTAACGTAGAAGAAAAATTCGCCTAAATTAATTGAAAAGCCCTTATTTAGTACGTTGCGTCATTTTCCCTCTAGTTATATACGTGGTGTAAGCATAATGGGAGGAAAGGAAGGCAAAACACTCCATAGTTGAAGAAATATTCTAAGAATCGCACCACACTTCAGAGAGATGCCCAAGAAACTCTTTGGCACAGCCCGTAGAATAATGGCGACACGAGATAAATGCTTCCTTGAATCGATACTCTTGTTCGATATCCCTTGTAGAGTTGTAACACCAGAGTACTGATTCCTGCTCCGAAGCATGGCTTTTCCAAACAAAAGATGAACGCTAAAAAACAAAGTGAGAGAAAAAGAATAGGAACGAGTAATGTACTCTGTATGAAACAACTCATTTAGTCAGACATTTGTTAAAATGTTGCTTCCAAGATTCAATTCCTTTTCGCTTAGCAATCTCAGGGAAACGATAAGGCCTAAGAATTGATGGCGGTCCGAAAGACAACCGACAATAAAATAGATCATTTCAGCCCCTGCAGCATTAATTGTTAATGCACTTGCGTTGCACCAACTCTGCTCTAAATGGTAGAATAGTCTCCATAATTCTTCCCGGTAACTTCCTTTTCTTGTCAAGTTCACAAAACCCTCAGTTCCTGGGGCAGCATCATCTTGTCAGTAATAATCTGGAACAGACTTCCCTCCGTTTTCGGTGTACAGCTAGTCCTGCTAAAACAAACAAACTTGGAAAAGAGGATCTCCGATTTGTTGAATCATGTTAACTTACACGCAGGTGGATTAAAGGTTAGTTCAATGTATTCAACAGCTTTCATTGCGAAATCTACCTTGTAAGACGTCGGAACTAGTTAGGAAATCTACCCAAAGTCTTGAATTGAATGCTACAGATTGTGATTAAAACAAGTTGTTGTAAAGTACTGGAAGATTCACAACAGTGAATGTTGAAAGTGCTTCGAGCATATTATAAAGAATCGGCCAATTGGAGATCGCGTGATCTCAAAAATAACTTTAATGTCAACGCAAAGATTGAAAACCAATGGTGCTTGCACAATGAGGCTCATAGAAACGGAATTGATTATTGTTCTAGAATGATATTTGTGCCAAGTAACAGCTGCGTAGTGGTGTTCTATCTTCGTTCTGATTGACTAAGCACGATTCTAATTTTAGCTTTTACAGCATAGCTACAAACATAGCATTCATGATCGTAGTATTCAATGACGCTCATAAAAAATTGTTTGGCAGCATGCATAATAAAACAATCGTTGACTAAGGTTTTCCTTGGCTTTCGGAAAACACGAACTTCGGCCTCGATATCATGCAAAAAATAATAGCAATAATCCGTACTCTAGTTCTGATGTGATAATTTAGCAAAATTTGTTTTTTCGATCATAATGTATAGAAGTCATTAGTAATTTATAGTTCATACATACATACATACTTTATTTGGTATAGTAGGTTAAATTAAAGGCAGTCAGAGGCTGATGTGGACCTATTGTCTACGGAATCTAGCTAAAACTATCTTAGTGTACTACTATTAAATCGGATCAAAATTAATACTAAAAATATTTAAAAACTATTCAGCTAAAGCTATCTAGGCGTTCTGTTATAAAATTTGTTCAAAATAACAATACTGAAGATATTGACAATCTTGATTCTTATGGGATTAAAATTACAATACTAAAAATATTTAAAATCTTGATTCTTGTGGGATACCATACATGTTTCTTTTAGAAAGTTAAGATCATTAATAAAATTCTTATGCCGACGTTCTTTTAGAAGGTTTTTAAAGTTCTTGAGGGAGTGGGAATGTTTGAGAGAGGTAGGGGTAAGTTGTCAAGCTAGTGGGCCTCTGCCAATGTCCAAGTTGTATCTGGGTAGAACGAAGTGATTACTATTTCTGAGGTTATAGTGTTGATTGGCAATACTAAAGAGGTTTGCTATTTTATCTGGGGTAATATCCCTATTTACTTTGTAAATTAAGATGAGAAGCTTCTTTTTATATTGGTTTGATAATGGCTCCCATCTAGTACTATCTAGGGTATCTTGATCTGATATGTCCCGTGGCAGTCTGTAGATGATTTTCAGTGCAATGACTCAGCAGGGGTTCGTCTTTTCAGGAGTTGGGGCAACACAACTGGACCCGAATTAATCGGTTTTTCTGAGATATCTTTCGAACATATGACATTCCTTTAGATGCAAAATTGTGGAAATTCGACGGCTGATACAAAAAAGTAATCAGAATTTTCTATCATGAGAGGCAATGTTTTCTAGAAACCTTGAATACTGAATAACTTTTCCAAACGAACCATTTTTGTCTTTTGCGAATTTGTGTATCATAATTTGTTTCGTCGTGCCCTCGTCCCTTGTACAACCAAACAACTGAAAATGGATCGCTCTTTTCGTGTATGTTCAACTGTTGATCAAAAGATGGAGTTGGACATAACCCTCTGAATGAAATAGACGACAAAAAGGTGGTAAATCCTTAGGTCGGTTATCGTATAAGAGGGAATATGTCTTAAAGATATTCGTCTGTAGCGTGGAATAAAAGAAATGGAATGCTTCACGAGTATTCAAACCTCAAAGCTTCCGATCACGTAGTCAGATTATCTACCTCCTGATTCACAGAGAAATCGTTAGTAACATATGTGGTTGACTTGCTACATACTATTTGGATCAGTAATGTCGAAAGCGTCGCGTGTGAATGTGTCTAAAAGTTTTTTCGATTGCAAATCGGAAAGGAAAAGTATTATTCATCCACGCCTTCGCTTTTATACGTTTGTCAATAGACTTTGACTCGCATATTTTACTTTTGTGTTTGGACTTTGATGGTACTAGTGCATACTTTGTGTTACCGTTTCATTTCAGTGACTCTGACACAAAAACGTCGTCATCGTCACATCTTGCTTTGATATCTTACTCTGACGTGTTTCAAGCCATTTTGAACTGCTTGCAGTATGTGAGTACAATTTTTCTTTTTTCACAGTTTAACAGCCAATTTAAGAGATGACCAGATGGTCTTCGTCGACCCTTAACAGACGAAAAACAGCAACAATTTACGAGTGTTATTCTGTTTATTACATATTTAAAGATATTTTTTGTGATCATCATTTTGTCTTGTAGGAGTGGGACTGGACAGTACTGGAGCATGTTTTGAGTGGACTACCGGAGGTCCTACAAAATAAGAGCCTTATTCTATCAGCTAATCCCGCGTTAAATACCATGACGTCAGTACTGTGCAATATGGTGAGAGTTTTTTGTGGGCCTGTTCAGCCACCGGTCTCCTCACCCCAACCTCCCGAGAGGCGCTTAGGCGAGAGAGAAAGGGTGTCTTTCGGGGCATTGGAGCGAGGAGATGGCCGACATCTTCTTGGCTTCAACAACATGAGTTAGAACCATAAAGTTCTAACTTTAAAGCGAGGTTAAGGGGCTTATTTGGATGTACATGAAAAGATATTGACAATAAGTTTGTCCACTATTATCTGAGAGGTGTACAAACTTAACCAAAGTAATTATGAAGTACAGTTGAACACTGTACTCTCTCGCTGGTTTTCTTTCATTTCTTTTTTCTTGAGATCTTATTAATCTTTCAACGCTTCATATGACCCGTAGGTTTCGGAACCTTCTTTCATCCTGGATCTTCGTCGTGTTCCTCCCGGTGTCGGGAGAGTAGGACTTCAGGCTTTGATTTTTCCAGTAAGTATCAATTATGTATATAACTTATCCAATTAGAGCGCAGCTCGATTGAAATATGGTAGAATCATTGTGTGGTTACATCTGTGGGTCAGGCCCTTCAAAGTAATGGCAATGAGCTAAGGAGTACTCTTCATAAAAAGTGCGAGAACATGCGAGTGGCTGGGATTTTACTTGCAATGTAACAACTTTTCACCGAGGGAGAGCAGACATATTCCGATTTTATTAGGCCCACACAAACTGAAGATCATCACTGGCGGTCAAAGGGCAGCTGGCTCTCGAAGCTAACTTTCCTTTTTTATTTTAAAAGGTTTTATCGGTTCTTGCCACATACCACTCCAACCTGGACAGGGGACGGCAGGTGAGATTCCATCTTATCGATTCCTATCAGGGCCGCCCTGGAAAATTAAACTTACTCAATATTACCAAGGAATTTTCCGGAGTATAAGGTGATCACTTTTTATCCTTGGGAAGTCCTTGGGAAAACAGATGCGTTGACGGTGACTGAAGTTTCAGCAATACTCCTTTTCAGAATTACTCTCACACGGACTACACAATTTGCACGGTAAACACGGTCCTCCCTTTCAGACACGATCAAATATTGATCCTGGGCCTAGACATCAACCTTGAGATCGATTTCCACAATTTCCGCATTGGATGCGTCTCATACTTTTATGATAATAACAAAAATGTGATCTATATTTTAGTTCGAGTTGGTGAGGACTTTGGAGCTGGGTTTAGTGACCAAGTGTGCTGTCTTATGTGTCTCTTCACTCACCCTGTGCACCATGGAAATGCAAGCAGTTATGAAAAGGCAAGCTAATCAAATCCAAGGCTCTCAATACAAATAACTCAAGTTTTAAAAGTGAGATTATAGAATTAATAGAATTTAATAGAATTTAAGAATGGCGCTATGTGACAAACCTGGAGGTTTGGTGAAAAAGGCAGCCACAAAATAGGAGAAACAATCCTTAAAATACAGAGATGTTTGCTTTTGTGTTTAACCCTTTAACTACCATGAATGACCAAGACATAATTTCTCCTAACAATATCAATACAATATCAAGCAGATAAGTGATGAGAATACGAAAAATATTAACTGGGGGATTTTTAGTTGATCCAATACCAAGTTCTCCAGACTAACATCAGAAAAACTATATGGCAGACAGTAAGAAGAATTACCAATGAGATCTTGAGAGTTAAAGGGTTAAGTGACTGACGGCAGACTGCAAGGGCCGTTTATTTAAACAAAGTTTAGCCGTTGTTTAACAAAACCGCGTTTTAAACTATCTTGAATTCAGCTGAATCTTTTATCTGAACATTTATGTTTGTGAGCATTGTCAAGAGCGCCGAAAGCAGTGGGAGGACATTCATTTAATGAAAACAACCTCCTTATAAAGAATGCGTAAGGTCCACTGCTTGCATAAAATCGCGCTTTGGGTTACCCATCTTATAAGTAACCGGCCCAAAGAGTTATTGATTTCCAGGTTTTTTCTTAATGGATGGGACCCTAATTTTGTCACAGTTTTAAAGGTTACCTAACCCTAAGTAAAAATTTCTCGGTGTTTTGTCTTTATTTCCAGTCTTCTTCCAGCTCTTTTAGTGCGGTTGACTCAGATCTCCGCAACTGTTGCCATGGCAGCACCCATGCTGGAGTTCCTTTCAGGTAAAACTATTTATCTCAGGATTGAAAATGAGTCTTGAATAATTGTAAAGCATAGAGACTTGCAAATTTAAAAACTCAAGAGCTGCAATAAGTTTGGAGAGTACAAATTAAGTAACGGCCGGGTACAAGTGTGGCGCTTAATTGCCAGTGGAAACCTTTCAAGGCATCAAAAATTTATGTGAAGTCTTAGCAAACCTTTTCACAGCGTGATCAAAGAATTTTCAGGTTTAGAGAAAAATTCTCGGCAGCACCTTCTCTGCTCAGGCCTTGTAATTTTACGCATTACGTTAGGTCTTGAAATTTTTGAATGTTGATTTTGAAACAGTCTGAAAAATCTCACAACTTTCACACACAAATGTGTATGAGAGTTATTACCCTTCGATGACACTAACTATGTATTTGCGAGTTTATTGCTTTTTTTTGTTGTTTTCTGAAGGTCTTGTTCATCTTCCACATCTGTACGCCAGTTTTCAAGACAGTCAGTACAAGAGCGTATTCGCCATTAGCCTCCCTTACACTGATCCTTTCAAGTGAGAATGTGTTAAATTTTTTATTAAGTCTCAATACTCTTCTTTGTTTCCTTTTTTAACTTTTACACTACATGTTTTTTCAATACCCAGATATTCTCAGTACACCATAACGCTTGCTTATCACGTGATTGCTGCGTGGTTTATTCGATCACGTGTGGCGTATCGCAAAGCATTTGTGGGATTCGTGAGTAAGGTAAGTGAGGTAATATTTTGTAACACATGGAAATTGAGGTTTATTGAAATATCAGTTAAGGTTTTATGGGCTTATTTTAGAATACTTGTTGGCTAAAGATGAATTGTCAGGGATTGAGACTATGATGTTGAAATGTATGAAATTTTCTGAACGACAGGTACAATTTACGTGGAGTTTATTGTTTGGGTTACGATTAAGCACTCTTGAACTAAATACGATCCCTTGATGAAGCTTGAGGGTTGATCATTGCGTTACCTTCTCACTTTGAATTAAATACTTTAGGCACGCCTAGTTAAACGTCAATCCAGTTCTCTTGGTATAATCTCTCTTTTGGAAACCCGCCAATTCAAAGAATACAAACTTTGTTCTCCGACTGAGTAAAAAGTTTCTTTTTTAACATTAATTTTACTTGTTTTGAAGGAAACACTTTTGCTTGTCCCTGAATGGAGTTCCTTTTGTAATGTAGATGAAGGGGAATTACTCGAAAGTATTCAAATTATGTGGGGATCTGGTCCATTGCAATGCTAAGCGCCCTATGTAATCTATTTTCGGAATGATACAAATTCATAAATTTACCTTGTTGGTTCTTGTCATTTCCAGGGTCTCAAATCAAGTGCTATAATTCCGGACCGTTATGAACCCAAACCAGACAGCCCCTCTCTAGCAACGACCAAATCTCGCACTGGAAACTCTACAAATCAGCCCTCGCCCCAGATTCATAATCGGTCAAGTTCGCCCGTAGTTCACAAGGAGACTGAAACGGCGTGTGAGCTACATGCTGAAATGAGTGAAGTTTGTATGGACATGATGGCCAGATACACGTTTGCTCCGTGTATGTCACAGCCAAACAGGTCAGAAATGTGACTTCCTTTTTTTGTCCATAAAATTAGAAGAATTGGGAAGCTGGTCTTTTTGTTGGTTCGTAATGAACCCGTGAAGTGACGAATAAATGATTGTGAATACATGAAAATCATATATGTCTCCTAAGAGTAAATTATCCACCGTTCACATATATGATTTTAACATATTCACAGTCAAAGGAAAACTTCTCAAGAGTCCATAAAAAACTTAACTGAATGCATGTAACAGGGTAGTGGATCGTAAATGAAATAGTTGTGAACAATTTACTTCTGCATCCTGTTGGTTGGAAAAGACACCCAAAGAGGTGTTCGAGGTTTGCTCCAAAAAAGATGAAAGTTCCGTGTTCAAACAGGGAAAAATAGATCCTGTTCTTCTTACATTGGCAAAAAATAACGCAGGTTTGTTATGAGAGATACCTTCGACTAATAAGATGTTTTGTTTCATGTTCAGGACCAAAGCGGTGGAGTTGATGCTAGCCAATGGTCATTCTCGTACTTGGATGATCGGTAATACAATAGTAACCATAACCACCTCAGGTACTTATATCGGCCAGGATGGTAATTGCGACAACTGCCTGGCTCTGAGACAAAGAACAGTAAATATGTCACCAAAGGAAAGCGCAAAAACAGAGAGGAATGTCAAACAGAAGATCACCGCGGTAGATGTTACGACAGAAGATTCTCATATCCAGTCTCCCGACGAAAAAGGTCATGGCACGTTTACGAGTCATGGAACTGGGACTCAGACTCCCGCGGGCGCTGATGAATCTTCGAAGCCTGAGGTGAAGTCAGAGTTTCATAGCGGCGCACTATCAGACCGGCGGCTCAGTGGACAGTTTGTTGCTATCAATCCACAAAACTGTCGATGTGTTTGCCAAGGCTGGGCTGAAATCTTTATCCGTCGGCCCAGCGGAAACATCTCTTGGATCATGCGCATTCAGAATAGGGCTACGTCATGGTTGGAGAGTGACGTCAGTACTGCCCTTATAGATGACCCTCAGATCGACGAATGTAAGTTTGACACTTGCCGTTTAGAGCTCTGTTTTTTTCTATTTCATGTCCAGTAATCAACTCTGCCAGAGGACTTTCTTAGCTTTGTGTATGAGTTGGTTACTTCATTTTTTTTTCAGATCCTCAGCGAATTTTTGTTAAATCTCTCTGATATAAACACGTCTATGCTAACGACGATTTCGTTTCAGTTGAAAATGAGAAAAAAAAAACACCTCGGAGAGAAGATAAGATCTTACAAATGGAACTGAATAGATCTGTGGTCTACCTTGCACAATACCATCACTTATCTCCTCAGTTCGAAATAAACTTTTCGGCTAAGAATGTCGATCCTCTTCTCACAAAATTTTACATGTGGCAAAGGTCCTGCTGATGTTTGTTAAATTCTCCTCTCCTCTTGTCAGTTTCTTCCCCACCCTGTGAAATGCGAGGAGAGGTCCTGAGTACCAGTACTGAAAGTGGCTCTGTTATTATTGACGTGGTGAGGCAAAGTAATCCTCCAGAGGGGGTAGGAGCTGCTTTTCATGATACAGGTACAAGGTCTATTAAAGATAACGTTAAATTACTATCAAAAGTGTATGAAATGGCAGTTAAGGGGTGGAGGGTGGGGAGGGGAGATGTCATAAACGCTTGAAAATCTTGCTTTTGAGACTATCAACGCGTTCGCGAAAGTAACCTCATTCTTAGGCTCGTTCCGTTTTTGCTCCTTCATTTCCAGGGTCCCTTGCTATCACTGTGGGATGAGTCTGGGAATGAGATTCCCATGTCAGCTAATGCATGAGATTCGAGAATTTCCCATTGTGCGGAAAGTTTAAGCATGTAGCTACAGTTGACAGTGCGCTTTAAACACTTAATGCCATTCTCTTAGTTTTTGGGTGTCTCCTCATTTATCTGTTTCATCATTTATTTTCTTTCCCGGTTGGTTTTCTGTTTATTGTTAATTTGCCTGCCGAAAAGCCCGTGGGGAGTCACTCGCTCGTTCCGGCTGGCAACATGGCAGCACAGATGGCGACAAAGATGCTGATGTACCTCAGCTGAATTCAGTGCTCATTTATTCACAAAGCGCTAGCACGGCCACTCCGCCAAGCACACCAGCGGGGTCTGTAGATTCTGAGCTCTTCGAAGGAAGAGAAAGGCTCTTAAGTAGGAGCCCCAGTAAAGGACCTCATGTTTTTACGGTACGCCGGGTTTGAACAGTTGTTTTGGTTTACACTTTGATGATATCTAAAAGTTTTGAAACTTTAGGCTTGAACCAAACTTAAGCTACTTGGTGAAAATGGTGCCAACAGAGTCTTTAAAGAGTCTTGTTGTGTTTAAATTCTTTTAAAATTGGCTCATGCAAAGAAACCTGAAGGTATGATCAGTCAGAACACAAAAGAATAGCTAATGGTTATTAAGTGTTATCACAAACGGATGAAGTGGATGGTCTCATCTTCACTCTGATTTGTTAAACCAAGTTCACTTGACATCTCTTTCTTTTGTTTTCAGATGCGGGAATCTGAATGTTCTGATATACTTGGAAGCTTGGAAAGAACTCCCAACGAAGGTAACTTGTTAGAGTTTCTTTTCCTTTTGGCTTTGGTGTACATTAACTCGATGCCTTTGCGAAATTGACCGATATTTTGTCATCTTTGATGTTCAGATGTTCCGCCGAACAAGACGAGAAAATTTGATAAGGTAATAATAAATTGTCCTCTAATTGTTGCAACGTTCATGTTAATATGTAGTGAACCTCGCGTAATGGTCGCATTTGCGAATCGTAAGTTGCTATAGAACTTAACTTTACAGACAAGAAAACCCTCCCGTAACCTTACTGACAACCAACGACAGCTGTTTTTATGTTTTTTATGCTGTTCCATGGCGAAAGGATTGAGGTCGCAGAATACCCTACAGGACATTTCTCACCGTCAACCAAATATTTCACACGTAGGGGTGTTGGGTGTCAAGGGTTCTACCGGGATTTTGCGGGAATGCCAAGCTGTTTTTTATTTATTTAATTATTTATTTATGTATTTATTTTTCTATCCATTTATTTATTGATTTATTTACTTATTAGCAATGTTTAACCAGGCTGGCCTTGTTCAGCTGAAAGTTGGTTCAATTTTTTATCCATGATGCGAAAGGGGGTTGATGTCACAGTTGTCCAGGGACCATCTCCTACCTGCTCCGCTCTTGATGCGACGTTTATTACCGAGATTTGTTAGGAGGTGGACGAGAGTTTCCTAATTCGGCTAGATTATTTTCTTATTTCAGCCAGAACTGGGTGTTTCTCCTGTTGACCCGTTCCCAGTGTCCTCTCTACCAAGACATAACCAGTTAGAGCGAAAAAGAAGAGACGAAACCAAATATCTGTCGTCATCTGAGATGTACAGGGTGAGACTTTTTTTGTTTTTGGTAGCGAAGAGCAGCGGTAACAACAACTGACTGCTTGTACTGCTGTTGAAGGTTATCGCTGTAGTTTTTAGTATAAATATTATCCATTATTTCTGTTGTAAACGTTCATCTTTCTTTGCAGCTTGCAAGTGACGAGAAGAGTGTGCAGTCTCTCAATATTGAGGAGAATGAGGATCACTCTGGTAAGAAGCATTTTGTGAATCAAGCAGACGTGTAATCAATACCACTCTCTTCTTTTTTCTCAAATCTTCTTGTACTTCTCTTCTTCTTCATCTTGTCTATTCGCCTCCTCCTCATCCCACTTTCCCCCTTGTCCTCTCCACTGCCCCCTCACTTTACCCTTGTCCTCTCCACTGCCCCCTCACTGTACCCCTTGTCCTCTCCCCTCTCCCCGCACTTTACCCCTTGTCTTCTCCCCTCTCCCCTCACTTTACCCCTTGTCCTCTCCCCTCCCCCCTCACTTTCTCCTTTCTCTTTCCCCTCATTTCTCACATCCTTTCTAACCTTCACCCCCTTCTCTCTTTCGTGTATTATCAGAGCAAAATTAACAGTTGTAGTTCTTTTAATCCAGGAAACCAAAAGATGGAAACTGTTCAGGGTGATGTTCCTCAAGGTCGGACAATCAATCCAGCCAAGAAGGCCGAAAGAAAAAAATCAGTTCCATATCAGTCCCTTGAGGAAGAGCATGGTGTGATCAGAGAGAGTCCGGAGTTTGCTTTGGATACAGTATTTTCCAAAACGGATACCAAAAGCGCTCCGACAACAAGCTTTGACTCCGGTGTGAGCAGATATCACCAGGATCTCTCTCGTTTTCCTCAACCGAAACAACATGGTGATAAACTGGACACTAGTGATCAGGTTCCTCGAAAGGTGAAGTTGAGAAAGTCCTCAAGTTTTAGTTCACCCACCATGGCGAGAAAAGCCTTGGATCATTCGGAACATTCTCCATATGCATCCCCTCGTCAGGGAAGGATTTCAATTGCAGTGAAAAGCAAAGAAGCGGAGGACAGGCTCTTTTCCCCGGCAAGCGTTGGTGATCCAAAAAAAAGTACCTCTTCCCCGGAGTTATCTTCACCACCAGCTTTCCCTAAAGGTACAAATACACAAGCAAGGTACACTTGTGGAATGCGGCTGTGATGAAAAACTATGAACTTTTGGATGTTGTAAAAGTCCCTGAATTATTTTGTAATCACAGCTACATCTCACAAGTGCACCATACTTATATCTCTACATCTTTCTATGTGGAACTCAAAGCCATTATTTTTATGCCATGGAAGTAAGGCCTAATACGGAAGGCTGAATTGGTGCGATTCTTTTTTCATTGCAAAGACAGATTTTTTTGAGTGCGGGGGAGGGGAAGGAGGGGGGGTGTGTGTCTCCTGTTTTGTCCTGATTGTTATTTGGCCAAGTTTTTATCAATTAACGGCTATTACTCCGGCTCAGAATTTAGAGTTCCTAATATTGTAAAAGGAAACAAGAATAAAGGAACTCTCCTTGCATAGGCCTCTTTGGAGTACATAGCTCCTTTGCGTGCGTACGATTAATGTATGTGCTGTGTTAACAAAGCTCCCACTGGCCTGTGAATTATAGCTTGTACGAAAAAAGAAAAGTTTATATTAGGTTTTCTTGGATTCAAATTTTTCGTCTTGTCATGATATCACGATTTTTCATTTCTTTTTCAAGTATTAAACAGTGAAACATCCAAGCGCCCGACATCTCGCTCCAGAATGATGCCCCATGCAATGGGACCTCAGCTTACAAACAAGTCGTCTAAATCGGCACCAACTGTTGGAGACTCCTCTGATGGGGGCCCCAAAGAGCCTCCCATTTTAGTGACCCCATCAGAATCATTCAGATACCCACTGGACCCTTGCTTTGTGTTTCTACAGTTGTATCACGCTTCCTTCTTGGGCCTGGTCAACGAAAGACCTCAGCCCCTCCCTGATGGGGAAGTAAGTTTCAGTGTATTTTGTAAGGTTGTAGTGTGATCCAGATAAATACAAACATAAAGTCAACAAAGAGGAGAGGCTAAATAAATGTTTTGTCATTGTAAATGGTGTGGAAATAAAAGCTGTAGTATATAGCGCTTTTGAGCGCAGTGGAGTGTTTACGAAACACCCCATTGCGCCCGAATGCCTCAAACTCAGTGGCAGGCCAGGAAAAGCTCGTACTGACGCAGTTATCATGTGGGCCGTCTCGCAGGCCATAACTCAAGTACCACTGAGAACTAAGTTTTATTTATTAATTTATTTGTTATTACATATTTTTTTGCTTATTTCATTTTCTGCTTAGGTCATTGAAAGAGCTATTAAATGTCTTGATCGCATTCCTCCCTATGACACTCACAAGATCGGTGTTATTTACGTGGGGCCTGGGCAGCATGACAACGAAGCGGCAATTTTAAGCAATGTGTACGGGTCCTCCCGTTATATGCAGTTTCTCGCGGGTCTCGGGACGCTTGTTCGGCTAAGGGATTGCCCACCCGCCGAGATTTACACTGGGGGACTGGATAGAAATGGAGCAGATGGTGAATTTGCGTACAGCTGGCAGGATGACATTTGTCAAGGTAAAAAAAATTGCCATTTATTAATAAATGCCTCGCTGGAACCGAGATCGAAAGCACTAGGTCAGTGCGTTTAAGCGTTTAACTCGTAACCATGGCACAGTAGTCGCGGCAGAGCGAAAACATCTTTGCATCCAAAGAAAAAAAGGAAACATGGGTCGCTGATACTCGACTTATTCCGTGGACAGGAATTTTGGCAGAGAAACTTGAAATGCTGGGGACGGAAGTAATTTGCCATAAGCCAGTATTCTGCCCGGGGGGGTTACCATTACTCCTGATTACTTCATGTTGCAGAAACCGGGATAATTCTTGTCCTTGATTCCAAATTTTTCTCTTCAGTCATATTCCACGTTGCCACATTGATGCCAACCAGAGATTCGGACCCAGGCTGCAACTCTAAAAAGATGCATATCGGTAACGATTTTGTTACCATAGTCTATAACGACTCGCAACAGGCGGTAAAGTTTGGCAGAATTAAGGTGAGATATCCTTTGCACCTAAATATAAAAAGACTCAGGTTTGAAGAACTGGCTCTAGGGAACCTTCTATGAGACGCTTTCTTTTCTTTTCTTTTCTTTCCTTTTTTTTTTCCAATAAAATTTCCCGGGATATGTACAATTTATTACGCTCTCAGTTTTTCTTTCCGTCGCCAGGGTCAGTTTAATTTTGCTGAGGTGTTGATCAAACCTCTCGACAATGCATCTAACATGGTGACTGTGAGATTCAAAGATGAGCTGAAGGAGTTACTCTCAGACACAGGGACTCGAGTCATCTCGGACAACAACTTGCCGCGACTAGTTCGGCAGCTTGTTGTACATATCAATGTGAGTATAATTTAAACCACGTAATGCCTCAGAAACAAGATGATTTTCATCGTATCATTATAGAGTGTTACATAGAAAGGTAATACTAATTGATGGAGTAAAATGTGACCTAACAGATCGAAAAGTTTCCTTTAAGACGCTTGAATTCAACCAAAGGAGCCGATTTCTAGAAAACAACCAAGCTACTGGTTGCACTTGTCCAAATGAAGTGAATGAAAAACCGTAGTTATTGGGGAAAATGTTGTCGTCAGTGGTGTTGTTGTTTTCCTTTTTGTTTCGCTCCTAGTTTTTTAAGCAGATTGTCAGGTGTTGAATAAGGAACATGAGCTGTTGCTTTTGCATAACTATATGGCATACGATGGTTGTGTGGTTTTGCGTAAAACCAGAGCCTTGGCGCCGTCGAGCATCAGGTTTGAGCTTCAGTAGATGAAACCAAGTTCAAACGAACTTAAGCAAAGCTTACTGGATTTTAAACATAAAAGAGGAAAACGCTCTTTCTACTTAGCGCCGGTGCATGGTCTGTAACACTCATAGGTTTCAATGTATCCATTCTTTGATGCAAAGACACCTTAGCCTTGACTGTGATTATCATTGTCGTTATTTTTTTCCCTAGATGGCTTCTGTAATTCACCAAAGTCAAAAGCGTCCAACCGACGCCTACGGTTGTAACTGGCTGGAGCGATTACGTCAGATTAAGCGCGTGCACTCAAAGGCTGCGGCTGAAAACTCCTCGGTTCCCAGTAGTCCAACAGTACGGAGGGTGTCTCCGTCCGCAGGACTGCGCATGTCGTCAGCACCGATCAGCGGTCTCACAGACTTTACAGAGTACATTATAAAATAATGCTGAATTAACGCTTATTATTGTGGGAATGAAATTCAATGAGGTGTCCTTTGAGGGCAAGATTTTTTCCTCGAAAGTCTAATTCAGTGCTTGAAACCTTTTTCGATGAAGAAGCTTTGAAGAAACGAAAGAATCCTTTGAAATATCGTTTAA